TTGACCGTGAATCCAGTGGGCTGAGTTATGTAGACTTCCTCATTAAGATCGCTGTGCAGGAACGCTGAATTGACATCCAGATGATGTACAAGCTAATTTTCCTTTATCGCTACTGAGAGGATTAGTCTTATTGTCTACAACCTGGCTACTGGTGCAAATGAATCATCAAAATCGACTCCTCTTTCTTGAACATAACCCTTGGCAACCAGGCGAGCCTTGTGTTTGATTACTTCTCCACACTCCTTTTTAACTTAAATATCCATTTTTTCCTTATTGCCTTGTGATTTGGGGGAAATTTGGTTAAGGACCAAGTATTGTTTCTTTCAATTGACTCCAATTCCAATTTCATGGCTTGCTTCCAAGCCCTTTCAGTGGCCGCTTCTTCATAGGTCGTAGGCTCATCATCGATTAACAATAGTTCCTAATTTTTCTCATAAAACTCTTTTGTTTCAGCCTTGTCGAATTTTCTTGTATTCTCGTAAACTTCATTAAGTGATCGAAATCCTCTTGCTGGTGTGTTTTCATATGAGGCTACAACCCCAATTTCAAATGATGCTTGACCTGGAGATGTTGATCGTGACTCCAATCTGTGCGAGCTTTGTTGTGGCGTATCTTCAAATGGTGGACTGTGACTTTAGAGTCACATATAACACCATCAACGGATCTTCACTTATGTTATCTGTTGGATCGACTTCTTGGGTTGGTTGGGATTGGGCTACCATACCGATTACTATATTAGTCCAGTAACGGGTTGTAAGGGGCTCCCACATTGACTCGTTGCTACAGGCCTAAGGTTTTGCTTCGTTAAACTTCACGTATCTGGCTAATACTATCCGTCTACTATTGGGATTATACATATGATATCCTTTAGTTCCTTCTTCAGTTCCCAAATACACCATAGCCTCACTCTGATCACTCGATTTTGTTAGACCACGCAACTTCTTGATGAACCCTACACACCCAAAGACCTTCAGGTGTACCAAGGATGGCTTGGACCCCTTCCAGGCCTCATATGGAGTTACATTTTTCAAGGACTTTGTCCTAATTATGTTCTGTAGGTACACCAAGTGTCGTATTGCCTCACCCCAAAATTGATCGGGTAGTTTCATGCCCTTGAGCAATGATCGAGTCATCTCCAAAATTGTTCGATTTAACCTCTCCACAATGCCATTTTGCTAAGGCGTGTGTGGAGTCGTCAATTGCCTGCGAATTCCAGCGTGTTTACAGAAATTAGCAAACTGGGTGGAGTTAAACTCGCCTCCCCGGTCAGTACGTAACGTATTGCTCTTATACTCACTCTCCCCTTTAATTCGTGACTTGAATTTTTGGAACATGTTGAAGGCCTCGGCTTTGGTTTTGATCAGCTATACCCACATATAACATGATTAGTCATCTACAATCAGTAGGATGTACTGATTACCGCCTTTTGTTGCAGGTGTCATGGGTCCACAGAAGTCTGTGTGTAACAGCTGGAGTGGGTCTTTTGCTCTCTACTGGGTCACATTTGGAAAGCCCTGTCTTGCCTGCTTGCTTACCATACAGCCTTCACAAACTTGTGAGCCTTATGTGTCATTTATCCAAGTAACATTAAGTTTGTGTGACCCATACGTGCATGCCATAACCATGAGTCATCATCTATACTCATGGTAAGGCATACAGGCTTCCTAGGCATAAGCTTTATTTTATAAAGCCTGTTTTAGGACCTCTGCACCTTCATAACTAAGCATCCTGCTTCATCATACATTCTTAGAAACTTCTTCTTCATCCCTATATTATACCCCTCTTCAGTCATATGTACTAGACTTATTATATTACTGTGCGGGGAAGGAATATAATACACGTCTGGGATGATAAATTGGTCGCCATTCTTGCAATCAAATAGGAGAGCACCTTTTCCTTTGATTGGAACCTTAGACCCATCTCCGAATCGAACCTGCCCCGTTACTTTCTAGTCTAGTTCAACGAATAAGGCCTTGCAACCGGTCATGTGGTTATTAGCCCCATTGTCTAGATACCATATGTTCTCTTCATAACACTCCTTGAGTTGGCCCAGGTAGACTTTTTCTTCATTCAACAGGACCACTTTGACATTCTTTTCTCCACAAACAGTCAACAATAGAGTTAGTTCCTCTTCATCAGCAGCCAAGTTTACTTCTTGGTCCTACTGCTTCTTTGCCTTGCATTCAGATGCATAATGACCAAGCTCTTGACATTTATAGCATCTTATGTTGCTCTTGTCTCGTGGCTTTTTGTTGGTATTGTTTACCTCCTGTCTTGAGTCACCACCCAACACCCACCTCTTCCACGAGATGTCCCTTGCTGTCGTGAACTGCCTCTTCCTCCTTGGTTGTTACTTCCGCCCTTTCCTCGACCACCTGTTGATTTTGGATTGCCTGGACTCCAGTGGGTTGATGAGATTTCTACCTTGGCAAGTAATAGGGCATTATCTGCCTGTGTTCTTGTCTTTCGGAGCCGGAACCTGTCCTCATAAGCCTTCAAATGCCCAATTGCTTCTTCAAATGGCATTGATTCCATGTCACAACTTTGTTCAATCGATGCCACTAGGTTTATAAACCTTTCTGGGACTGTATCAAACAGCTTCCTTACCAATTCTTCATCTTCTAATATTGCCCCCTGCACTACCAAATTTAAAGATCATAGATGATATTTTTCCTGCATAATCATCCATGGTTTCTGTTTCCTTCATTTGGAGTGCTTCAAACTCGCTTTTTAGTACCCACAACCTTGCCTTTTGGACCCTTTCTGCACCCATATACCGTGACTTGAGTGAGTCCCAAACCTCCTTGGCTATCTTCTTCTTGGCAGCCTGTGCTAGTATCTCCTCCGATATAGACTGGAAAATGAAAGCTCGAGCCTGCATGCTCTTCTTCTCATCCACAACCACTCTGGTAGGTGGCTCAGTCGCATCCCATAACCAATGGACTTCCATCTTAATTGACTAGGTATTGTAGTTTAGTGATGTCAACATTGGGCACTACAGAGTGAAGGGTTTATCCTTGGACTGATTGGATGATGATGGGGTTGTCATATTGTTGAATCCAGGATACATGGGAATAAAAATGATCAGGATCTATTGAGGCTCTGATACCAAATGTTGGTAATCAAGTAATGGAACAGTAAACAACAACAAACTTACAAGGGTAAAATGGAAATAGGTAGTCAAATGATTCACTTTTATTGAATGAAGACTAGTAACTTAATGGTTGAGCTGTTGTACAGGGAAATTTCGACTGATTGTTTGTGACTTCTAATCTATGTCATTTATACTACTAAACATTACCTAGAATTGAGAAATACTGGGAACAATCTAATTTCTAACGGTCATGACTTGCACGAGTTTTATTTTTTCCTAATTACCAGGTTAACCTTTGACCAACAGATGTGTGGGTGGGAGACAAAATCCTAAAAGTCAGATATCCTGACTTATATAATCTTGATTCGGTCAATAATTGTTCAGTGGCTCAAAAAATTGCAGCTAATAAAGTTTCATGGAGATTGTGTCCTTAATCAGGAGGGTTGGAACAAGAGTTAGGCCTGCTATACAGTGACATTGCCTCTACTAAACTCATGAGGGGTGATGATTATTGGTCGTGTATTCTTGCGACAGATGGTAAGTACAAGGTGGGGCTTCTTAGGAAGAAAATTGATCATATCCCCCCATCCAACTCCTTCTATCATATGGTGTAAAGAAGTTCCAATTAAAGTCATCAACTTCATGTGGCGTCCAGTTCAAGGGCAGATACCCATGGCTATGGCTCTTTCTCATCGTGGGATTGTTCTACACTCGTCCGTGTGTGGCTCTTGTATCAGGCATGAGGAGGGTGCGTACCACCTGCTAATTTCCTATCACTATGCACATTGTATTAGGGATATGATTTTTAGGTGGTGTGGAGTCGGTAATTCTCAGTTTACCAGCGTCGATGATCTGATTAATTACGCAAACAATGGGTGTAGATCTTTGGTAAAAAGGAGATTCGTGACTATTTGCTATGGTTTATTGTGGGGGATATGGAAATTTAGGAATGACAAAATTTTTAAGAGCAAATTTATCAATCCAAGAAGAGGTGTTGCTTACATTAAGCCAATGACGTTTCCGTGGCTTAAATGTAAGAGTAAAGGTACTATATGTAATTGGGATGAGTGGAGTACCTCTCCTTTCCTTTCATAGTTTTTCTGCATTCTAAACTATAATAGTTCATTGTTCCTTTTGTTCCCATGACCAGTTTCTTGCTTTGCGAGGGTTTTATATATGATTGTTGTTTCCAAAAAAATAATTTAGTGTAATTATTAAGTTTAGTAATATAGAATTTGAACAATTTGTACTCTTTTTATGTTAACTCTCATTGCTTCATTGGATTAGTGTAGTAATTAAATGCACATTACTGAAATTAGTTTAATAATCAACTTATTGACAGTTCAAGTTCCAATAGCATTAAAGATTGTCATTGCGTTAGTGTAATAGTAAAACACACATTATTGAAATTAGTATTTATCTTCCTGCGAAATGATTTCAATGATAATAATTTGATAAGATTAATAATTCATCCAAACACTTGTCAAATAGATGAGAAGATAAATAAGAAGATAAGCTTAGAAGTCGGTCATTGAACTATGTAATATGTTTTATGCATTTTATGATAAAATATTTTGTAGAATATATTTTGAACACTAATATGTAGTTTCTTTCATTTTTATTCACCGTATAAAAATAATACACATGTACCTTTCAAATCTATTATAAAGACATTCAACTAAAGCCCATGAAAACCATAAAATAATAATAATAATAATAATAATAATAATAATAATAATAATAATAATAATAATAAATTAGAAACTTGGTTTTGAATACATGATTTAATAAGGAGGTTAGTTTGGTCATTTGACAAGCTAAATGAAATTAGGGCTTTTAACCCCCGTTTCCTTGTTTGATCAGGCAAAGGAAATGGAAAGATACGAACGAAATCAGTCGAGCACGGATGAACGGCAGGTGCGAAGGAACAATCGGTGGGCCAGAAGGGAGAACGAACGAAGATGACGGGAGGGAAGCACAAAGGCTTTGCAGGTGGCACGAGGTTTCAGTGATCGATCGCGAGAAGGATCGCCTTCTCCGAGGTTCGATGAGACCGAAGGGTAAAAGCCTCGAAGCTACTGTGGTCTCTGTCGGTGCAGCGAGGAGCTGCTCAAGCAGCTTCTCGGTTGCTTGCTTCAGTCCCGATAGCTGGTTGCGTAGGAAATACGAGGAAGAGGTACGAGGGACAAGAGTTGGTTCGATTGGAGCGACAGCAACCCCGGGAGGGTGTTTGGCGGCAGTTTTTCGACAGGGGGAAAAGAGGAAGTGCGATGAGGTGTATTGCTCCGATCAGTAGCAGGTATGTGGATTGGGGATGTTCTTGCAGCTCCCCTGTTCTCTTTTTTTTTTTTTTTTTTTGTTGGCATTCGGTAGGGCTTAAGTGGGTGTTTGGGTTTGATTTTTGACAGGAAGATATGAAAAAGAAAGATGGTGATGAGGCTGTTTTGCTGCTTGAGATCAAAAGGAAGAAGAAGAAACGAGGCTGCGATCGTTACAAAGATAGAGAAGCGCAACAACCATCTTCTTTGGCTGAAGATCCAGAAACGGGAAAGAAATGGTACAAGAAGATATCTTTTTTTTTAATATATAAAATAATTTGATTATGACGGAGTTTGAGTGTCGTGTTGGTTGAAAGAAAGAGTAGTCTTTAATTTGACAGCCAAGTAAGGAGTCTTGCAAGTAATATTTTGTGTAGATGCACACCCGAAAGTTGTACCATTGATTGGTAAAGTGTATAAGTTTCATTTTGTTTTGGTCGTCAATTTAAGAGGTGTATTTGATATTAAATTTGCAAGCAATGTATTAATTTTATCATTCATGTATTTGTGTGATGTATTGGTATAATTATTTATGTATTTGTCAGGATTTAGAAACAATGTAGTACCCCAATTATTTGTGCATTTGGGTGTGTATGGATGTATTATACTAGTTATACACATAAGTATATGTAGTTGGATAATAAGTTACTTATTATACATGTATTTGTATGTATTAAAATATTGCACTAGTTCATGTATGGATGATATAATATAGTGTAGGAGTTAACCATTCTTGTATTTAGATATATATTTTGGACTTTTGGTTCACCATACTACTTTGTTTCTATTGGTTTTTTCACACTAAAACTTGGTCTATTCACCAATTACTTTGTTTCTATTGGTTTTTGCATATTGGGTTCACTCTGTTATCTTAATCAACTACTCAGTTGTCTTAGACAACTTAGTAGCGCTATCAATAAAATTTTTGATGTATCAAAGTAAACACAATCTTGTTTTTTTCATCCAGCCCATATGGGCGATCAAAGTAAACACGTACGTAAGTATTAATCCCTCAAAGAAACTAAACTCTTAACTTTAATACCATAGCTGCATCTACGAAAGTGTAATTTTTTATGTTTGTGTGCATAAGTTTGAAAGCTTGAGTCCCTTGAATGATAGCGTCTCACAGTTATTCTTGTGAACAAGTGTTCAAGATTAGCTGTCTAGAATAATTTTTATGTAAAAAAAACCTGTTTGAAATAAACAATTTGTATTCAACAATTAAAAATCCAAAATGTCATTTTTTGTCATAAATGTCCCGTTATAATTTTAGTTAACACCAAATATAATATAATTTGTATTCCAAGTGGGAGCCCCAAATCCACTACCATTGTTTTATGCTCCCAGAAGAGTCTACATGCCCAATGTCAAACCATAACAAATAAGGCATCTCATCATCCTCCTTAAGTGTCATTCTAAGTCAATCGCAAAGATAAAACAAAAATTGACAAATCAAATTGGAATGAATGTATGTTATATTACATGTGGTGGCACAAATGATCTTAAATCCTCCCACATCTCATAAGGCTAAGGGAAATTGTGACACTCCTAGCACAACTTTTTAAATGTCACCTTATTGTTCTCTCTTTAACATATAATCTTAGCATTTGGTAGGGAGTAACAATTCTCTTAAAATTCTATTTTTTTTCTAATTTAATTTAATTAATTTATTTTAATAAACAAACATTTTTTATTTAATATTATATAAAATATATATTTTTTATTTTCTTTTTGTAATTTAATTTAATTACTTTATTTTAATAAACAAACATTTTTTTATTTAACCACCCCTTATAGACCAGCTTTATGAATAAGGCCTACTAACGGTAATACTGGTTCGTCTTATACATACACACACACACACACACACACACATATATATATATATATATATATATATATATATATATATATATATATAATTATTAAGCTTTTAATATTATAATAGTATAAGGGTTATATTTTAAAATTTTAAAACACTAAGGTTTTAGAATTTAATATTTTAAAATTAAAACTTTTAATCAAAATTTAAATTCCAAAACTTGAGGGCAAGTATTCAAACTTTTCAAAACTTCTAGATAAAATTTTAAAATAATTAAAATAATCATAGAATTTTATCTATATCAAAATTTTACCTAATCTAGTTGTATTTTGCAAGATAAAATCAAATCAAATTTTACAAATAAATAATTTATCACATAATCTAGTAATGATCTGAAAATTTGACGTTTATCTATCAATTAGATGAGGATATTCATTACCATATCAAAAAAATCGTTTTTAATCAGTTAAATCAACTTATGGTAATTATCCTAATCTAATTTTGGCTAGAAATCCGAAAAATCTGCCAACAAACGAGTCAACTCGTCGAGTCAGGCTTTGAACTCATCGAGTTGCCTCAACTCATTGAGTCCCATAATGTACTCGTCGAGTCTAGAATTCGATTGCTTTCTGCTTTGAACAATTAACCACGACATCAAATATAAAAGAAAACACCCCTATCTCTAATATCATTAAAGGGTTATGAACACTACAATATTTCTATGGTGTACATGCAACCCTAATGCTTTGGATCTAGGTTTTTCTCAAGTTATACATGCAAATAATCATCCATAGCATAAACCCTAATCTAGCATACAATTTTCGAAATTGATGATTAAAACAAAGTTAGAAGAATGCCTTTTTGTAGCTTGTTGATCTTAACCTTTTAGAGCTTAGTGCCTCAATTGTTGCACCTCTAATGGAGTCACAAACACCAAGTAGCAACAAGGAAGAACAAGAGAGAGAGAGAGAGAGAGAGAGAGAGAGAGAAGAGGCTCTAGAAGTCGGCTAGGGTTCTTTAGAAAAACATTAGGCCGATTTCATGAACTAGGGGGTGTATTTATAGCTGAGATACTACGGTTTCTGGAAAAACCCTAATTTGATTGCTTAAGTCTTAAGTAGCCTAGTAGATCCTTCCAGAAGCCATCATATGGATGAAATCCATGTGGGCTACACATAGAATTCATCCACCCCTTCTACAAGGAGCCACAAGCCCAACTTGAAACTATTAGATAATTGCAATATTAGTCCCCTTAATTTAATCAGTCTGTTTTGATCACCAAATTAATTCCAAATTAATTTCTGATCAATACTAATTAAATAATATTATTTCTCAATTAATAAACTATTCTTATAATATATTAATAAATCATAAATTAACCTCTTTCTCTATAAATCATCCTATCAGCTGTTATGGTGAAGGCAACCCAAAAGGACCATGCTACTATTGGGTCAAGTACATCCCAATTATAGTTATGGGATTAGACACCTAATCCAAGTATGTTCGTTTCACCTCCATGTTTTAGGGGAAGTATCATGAGGAGTTGGGTACTCATCTGCATTTTAGTACCACATACCACCCGAGACCGACAGCCAGAGCGAGCGAACGATTCAGATGCTCGAAGATATGCTTTGGGCTTGTGTATTAGATTTTTGAAGGAGTTAGGATACTTACCTTCCACTGGTCGAGTTCTCCTACAACAACAGTTATCATGCCAGTATTGACCGACCGCCTTTTAGGATGTTATATGGGAGGAGGTGCAGGACCCCAGTTTGTTAGGGGAGGTCGGGTATCGGGTCATGGGGAGTACTGAGGTTGTACTTGTGACATCCCCAAAATCTCGGCTAGAAAAGACCGATTTCATTTATGCTTTTTAAAATAATTTCAGAGTAAATCCTTTTGATTTAAAAGAGTTGCGGAATTTGTTCCCAAAAACAAAATATGATAAAATAATATTTATCAAAGCATTTCATCAAGAGATGCATTTTCATTATATAATCAAAACTCGGGATGTCATGTTCCGATATAGACCATAAAGCATAAACGATAACATTACAAGTCATTCAACAAATATATACATATACATACTTGTAAACAAAACAACTTGATGATCCATCCATCTTATGCCCTTGCGCCACTTCCTGTAATACAAATAAATTGAGTGAGTCAGGCTTGGGAGCATGGTGAGCATATAGGGTTTTCAACCTACAATAAATAATTATATTTAATTTCACCAACCAAAAATAACCCGATTACCTATTCCCGTTATCCTCACTTTATGTCCCTAAAACAACATCTATCTCAAGGGACCTAATCCAGGATTTTCATCGGGACAGACATTACTACTAAGGGGTTTCCTCAGCAATAGATATCCTAAAGGCAACCATGAGGGGGATAGAGTACACCGGTGAACACATCGTTCACAACACCTACAGGTTATGAAACTGTTAGCGTTCCACTGGACTGTCTAGAAAGAGTCTGTGGTCATCATCCATACTCCGCTAGATGACTGGGTCAGCATCAACAAGATCAAGGCCTCTCATTTGTTTATCACACATCAACTATCTACCCATGTTATACCCAACATATTAGTAGATAAAAATATATATTTTTATACATAGTTTAAAACCAGTATAGCATGTTCAATCAATACATATTCCACATAACAGATGAGGCACACACACATAACACGTATTTCATAGAGAATAAATCAGATCAATGAGATAGAAGAAAGTGAATATACATTCACACATATAACAAAAAAATATACACATAACACGTATTTTATATAAAATACTTCATAATAATGCATTAGAAGAAAGTAACTACACACTCCCTTGATCAGAAGATGATCGGACAGCACTACGACTTGTAAAAGTAGTATTCTTCTGTAGATGTGGAAGATCTTCACAAAAACCGGGCTTCTCGCGGGCAGAACTTCGGCTCGGGAATTTCACTTCTCGGGATCTTCGGGGCTTCGGGCTCGAGATTAATATCGGGGCTTCGGGATATTTCTAGCACATAAAACGATGCAAAACGGTGGAAAGAGAAGAGAATTTAGCAAAAGAAGTCGGCTGCCCCCGCATGCCTTTTATAGAGGTTGAGCCTCGCACGTACGCTGGGCGTACTCAGTTACGCGGGGCGTACGTGACAAAAAACGTCACTACATGCGTCATCGGAGCACTCGAGTCTGAGGCGGTGCATGTATCGGGGTACGCTGGGCGTATTCAACTACGCTGGGCGTTGTTCGGATCAGACATCCGAATTAAAGATTAAATAAATAAATATTAATCATTTACAAATTTCTGAAACTCATATCTTCTTCATACTAACTCCGTTTTCAACGTTCTTTATATCCATGTGTAGGTGAAACTACGCTCTACAACTTTCGTTTAGACTCCGTCGGCTAATTTTGAATTTTATTTTTATTATTTATTTTTAGTAGGCTGGGATAGGAAAACTCCGTTATAAATTCATAACTTCTTCATCTGACGTCCGTTTTCGTTTGTCTTTTCACCAATGCAATACTATCAAAGAGATCTTTGATTCTCGTTTAGATTGTTTCAACCAACAATCAATCGATCTCGAA